GAACTCATGAACCCCAAGATCATGACCTGAGCCAAAGTCAGACACTTAACCAACTGAGCCACCCAGGCACCCCTGGAACCTCTTTGACATTGGGTGTACCAACTTCTTACTAGATATGCCTCCTAAGGCAAGGGAAACAAAAGCAAAAATAAACTATTGGGGGGTGCCTGGGTGGCTCAGTCAGTTAAGCGTCTGACTTCAGCTCAGGTCATGATCTCACAGTCTGTGAGTTCAAGCCCCGCCTCAGGCTTGTGCTGACAGCTCAGAGCCTGGAGCCTGCTTCGGATTCTGTGTCTCCCTCTCTCTCTGCCCCTCCCCTGCTCATGCTCTGTCTCTCCTGTCTCAAAAATAAATAAAAACATTAAAAAATAAATAAACTATTGGAACTACATCAAAATAAAAAGCTTCTGCACAGCAAAGGAAACAATCAACAAAATTAATAGGCAACCTATGGAATGGGAGAAGATATTTGCAAATAAAATATCTGATAAAGGGTTAGTATCCAAAATATAAAAAGAACTTATAAAAGTCAACACCCATAAAAACAAATAATCCAGTTTAAAAAATAGGCAGAAGACATGAATAGACATTTTTCCGAAGAAGACATACAGATGGCCAACAGACATATGAAAAGATGTTCAACATCACTCATCATCAGGGAAATACAGATCAAAACTACAATGAGATATTACCTCACACCAGTCAGAATGGCTAAAATTAATAACACAGGAAACAACAGGTGTTGGCAAGGATGTGGAAAAAGGGGAACTCTCTTATACTGTTGGCAGGAATGCAAACTGCTGCAGCTACTCTGGAAGACAGTAGGTTCCTAAAGACCTTTAGGTTCCTAAAATGTTAAATGTTTAGGTTCCTAAAGTGTTAAAAATAGAACTACTCTACAATCCAGCAATTGTACTATTTACCCAAAGGATACAAAAATAATAATTTGAAGGGATACATGCATCCCAATGTTTATAGCAGCATAATTAACAATAGCCAAATTATGGAAAGCACCCAAATGTCCACTGACTGATGAATGGATAAAGAGGATGTGGTATACACAGACACACACACACACACACACACACACACACACACACACACACACACAGAATATTACTCAGCTATCAAAAAGAATGATATCTTGCCATTTGCAGCAATGTAGATGCAGCTCAAGAGTATTATGCTATGAAAATAAGTCAGTCATAGAAAGACAGTACCATATTATTTCACTTGTATGTGGTATTTAAGAAACAAAACAAATATACATAAGGGAGAAAAAGAGAGGAAAACCAAGAAATAGACCCTTAACTATAGTGAACAAACTGATGGTTACCAGAGGGGAGGTGGGTGGTGGGATAGGTTAAATAGGAAATAGGGATTAAGTAGAGCACTTGTGATGAGTACTGGATATTGTCTGTGCTTAATCACTAAATTCTACACTTAAACCTAATATTACACTGCATGTTAACTAACTGGAATTTAAATAAAAACTTGAAAAAAAAAAGGAATTCCAAGCTATTCAAGCATAAAACCTATTATAAAGAGGTTATAGTCACAGAAGCAAACTCCAATGTCTCAAGAAAAAGTTTGAAAAAAAAAGTTTCTTTTGGAAGGTTTTAATTCTATTTTTCTTATCATATGTATGTAATATAAAGAAAATACAAGCTGTTGTCTGCCAAACTTCCCATACAGCCACCTCCAAATCCCCTCCTGTTTACCCTCAGTGTGAAATATTATTATTTTACTGTGTGTGTCATGATATAAAAAAGATTGAAAAGCACTGATATAGAGAGACAAGGTATCAAATCAGATCCTTGTGAAATATCTCCATTACAGGAGAGAGGGCGGTGAAGAAAAGACACAGAGAGGGTAAGTATCTGGCATTTGGGAGACAAGTCCTGCCTCAAAAGGTGGAAAATTTCCCCAAAGGAAATGGATTTAGATGCTGGGCCACCAAAATAGATAATACTTGTCCCAAACAGGTCGGCAACGCCAAATGTCACAGAAAAGTGCAATAAAGATGAAAAAATATCCATGGGATTTGATAATTAGGAAGCACTAGAAATGCTAGCAGCATCCATTACAGGACAGGCAAGGAAAGGCCACACAATAGGGAGCTGGGGTGGAGGTGGGGAATGGTGTGGACAGAAATAAATAAACTGCTCTTTTAAGAAGGTTATTGTGAGAAAAGTAGTGGAAGTGGAGGGGAGCAAGGATCAGGGGATGTCAGACTTGCGTGTGTTTCTACTTCAAAGGTAAATCGGCAGCCCAGAGGCAAGTTTAAAGAGGAGATATTTGTAACTGCAGAGGAAGGCATACCCTTGACAGAGAAAGCTCCTGAAGAAGCTGAAGGGATGAGATTGAGCCCAGGTAAAAGGATGGATCTTGGATAGATGTACACTGGCTCAAGAGAAGGCAGGCAAGGATGGCACAAATCATTTCCTCAATCAGAAATTAGGAAGCTGAGGTGGCTGTGTCTGGGAGCTCTCTTTTCTCTGTTTTCCAGGGATACAGACTGAGACATATTAGAAATGGAAAAAACAATGGGTTTGGCGGGGTGCCTGGGTGGCTCAGTAGGTTAAGCGTCCGACTCTTGGTTTTGGCTCAGGTCGTGATCTCTTGGCTTTGTGGATTCAAACCCCACATCAGGCTCTGCACTGGTTGGTGTGGTGCCTGCTTCAGATTCTCTCTCTCTCTCTCTCTCTGCCCCTCCCCAATTGCGCTGTCTCTCTCTAATAAATAAACTTAAAAACATTTTTTTTAAGGGTTTGACAATTAGAAGGTCATTTATGACCTTTGCAGAGACAGTTTTAGTGCTTTATTGAACCAACAGGTATTTATCATACTAGTGAATGGGGCACAAGACTGGAGGTCCTGAAATGAGAGTCCTGGATTTTAGATTTAGCTTTTCACCCAATTAGTTCTTCATAAGTGAAGGCACCTTTTGGGGACTTATTTCCTCAAAATGGAAGAGTTGGAAGAAATGATGACTTCATCCATGTCCAACACTTATAATATTTGTCTGCTCTATACAAGGCACAGGCCTGGCCAAATATGAAATACAAAGATGCAACAAGATGCAACAGGGATTGGGCCCTCAATGGCATCACTGCCTCCAAAAGCAATTACTACTAACAATAAGTCATCTTGTTCCAGGAAGTGCTCCTTCTCAGGTCAAGGTCAGCTGTTAGGGGGAAAAGCACTGAAATTTATATTTTAAGGGGAAAAATATAACCAATTTCTAGTATGATTTTTAAAAATACTATCAAACTTGGACTGAAAAATCTCAAGACCTTTAGCTACCTAATAAAGTTATTCCTCAACATGATAAATCGAGAAATGAATGAGTCACAGATTTAGGGGTCCTTTAATAAGTGAGAAAATTTGGCATTAATTTGAATACTGTGAGTTTTATCTGAATCTGTCCCTTGGATGTTTAGCACAACACACTAAATGGAAAGTTGTGACTGCACATGTTATATTTTTTAAGACAAAATAGATTCTGCCAACTTCTGAGCTAAAGGAACAGAAAATACAGGCACACATAATGAAGACTGTCGAAATGTGATATAAAAAAAAAGATGTATGATGTTATCTCACACATCTTCCCATCAACATGTTCATTATAATGCATTCTTTTGTTCTATCCTATTCGGAATTTCTAGCTGTCTATTTGTACATTGATTTTGCACCTCCCACCACAGAACTTAGAAACATTGACAAGCATCTTCCCATACTCTAAAATGCTGCAGTATGAGGAGGAGGACATTTCTATTGCTTTAATCTTCATAAAGAATGCTCACGTGGCTAATTTGTTCAGTTCCAAGTCTTTGGTATCTTGTCACTCCTTTTGAATATAAAGATGTCTAGGCTGACCTCCTTTTCCCAAAGAGAATCCTTAGTATAGCTCTGATTGGATTCAAAGTGCTACCAAGCTCTTTGCAGAAAAAAGGCTATGTTAGAAGAAGTACAGATTATTCCAGAGGTGTGTCTGTACCATTCCAACCCATCGTTATCAAGATGTGCAAATCACCCATCATTGGTAACTAAGTCTCTGTTGTGGCAAATTAGTTTATGATCACTTACCTCCCCTCCTCCCAAAGCCCCTGCTTCTATGTCAAACATCTCTGAGGTTCTCCTAAAGGGATGGGGTTGCTTCCTTGTTTTACTTCCAACATATGATTGTGTTGAATGAAAGGCAGTGGGCAGCCAAGTGACTGCAGAATTGAGAGTTAAGAAGACCTGACTGCAAGCGCTTCTCCTGCTACTTATTTGCTGTGTAATGTTTAGCAGTTACTTAACCAGATGTTCAATTTATTCCTCTGTAAAAGAAAGATTAATAATACCCACCTGACCTACAACATGAGGCTGCTGTGAAGAAGAAAAGGAAATAGATGACATAGAAAATTTTTTAACCCATTCTTATGACTTGGCTTGCTATGGTGGGACAGCAAAGGCAAGCAACCTGAGCACTGATTTTCTCCCCAAAGCAGGCAAGACCTTTCCTTCTGCCTGGACTGCTTCTTCCTTTCAGCAAGACCACATGGGACCACCCCTTGAAGGAATACGGATGCAGGGGCCAGCCCTGCTTCCTACAGGCCTGTCCTTACATTCTGGTGTCTCAGGGTGGGGCACTGGGACTGGTTTTTGTTTGTTTGCTTGCTTGCTTGTTTGTTTTTGGTAATTTCAAATCTCTGTTCTGAAGCTTTTTTCCCAGAATTATGGGAAGTCAGACAGTAGTATTTTATTTTATTATTTCATTTCATTTCATTTCCATTTCATTTCACTTTATTTTTGAGAGAGAGAGCATGAGCATGAGTCCAGGGGAGGGGCAGAGGGGGAGAGAGAGAGAGAGAGAGAGAGAGAGAGAGAGAGAGAATCTTAAGTAGGCTCCATGCTCAGCGTGGAGTCTAACACGGGCCTCAATCTTACGACTCTAGATCATGACCCGAGCCAAAAATCCAGACTTAGGCAGTCAACTGACTGAGCCACCCAGGTACCCCAGAACAGTAGCTATTTTATTTTTTTATTTTTATTTTATTTTATGTTTAAATGTTTATTTTTTTTATTTTTGAGAGAGAATGGGGGACAGGGAGCAGAGAGAGAGGAAAACACAGAATCTGAAGTGGGCTCCAGGCTCTGAGCTGTCAGCACAGTGTGATGTGGGGCTCAAACTCACTAACTGAATTGATGCATAGGGGCACTTGTACCCCAATGTTTATAGCAGCACTCTCAACAATAGCCAAATTGTGGAAAAAGCCTAAATGTCCATCAACTGATGAATGGATAAAGAAATTGTGGTTTATATACACAATGGAGTACTACATGGCAATGAGAAAGAATGAAATAGGGTCCTTTGTAGCAACGTGGATGGAACTGGAGAGTGTGATGCTAAGTGAAATAAGCCATACAGAGAAAGACAGATACCATATGTTTTCACTCTTATGTGGATCCTGAGAAACTTAACAGAAACCCATGGGGGAGGGGAAGGAAAAAAAAATGAGGTTAGAGTGGGAGAGAGCCAAAGCATAAGAGACTCTTAAAAACTGAGAACAAAC